GCGGAATTGGACATCCCCTTACAGAAGGGCTGCGGGGAGGAGAGGAGCAAATCAAAGTGCAGTGTAGTAACGATGAAATATGCAATTTTCCTCTGATTCTTAAATGCTTCCTCCACCCCACTACAATGATCCCAATTCTACCTTACATATCCGGCTGGACTGGAGGAGGTGCATTGGCACAGATAGGAACTGGAAATACAGTGAACCCAGGACAGATGAAACCCCCAGGATCAGTGGAGAGAGTGGCGATGGCAGGAAGGTGGAGGGAAGGAGAGGGAGAAAGGGGGAACAGAGGACAAGGTCTACATGTGGCCTCCTCCCTGGGGGACGGACAGCGGAGAAGTGGGTGAGGGAGACGTGGGATGGGGTAAGATGATAAAATAATTATAAATTATCTGGGGTTCGAGAGGAGGGGGGAGTGGAGAGGGAGGGGGAAAATGAGCTGACACCAGGGGCTCAAGTGGAAAGTGGGTGTCGTAAGAATGATGAAGTCAACATATGTATTAAAGTGCTGGACACAGATGACGTATGTACACATTGTGATGAGTTGCATGAGCCTCTAATAAAATGATTATTAAAAAAAAAAAAGATTATCCTTTAGGGTACAGGTAACTAAGCTTGTGTAGGGGACTTTCCCAATTCACTGGAGGGAGGAACTCTGGTGGAGTCCTTGGGCCTTTAGCCTCAAAGTCCATAGCTCAAAAGGACCAGCCACTTACTGGGCAGGGTTAGCAGGGGCAGTTCTGCCCTGTCCTATAGGTTCGCTATGAGTCAGAATTGAGTGAGTTTGGTCTTGGGTTTTTTCCAATTTATTATTGAAAATTTTTTAAAAACCACAACAACAGCAACAAAACTAAGTCTGAAGTGTGAGGAAATCCAAACAGTGATTTTCCCTTCTGTGCTAAAAAAGTACACATTTAAAAACTGCTAACACTTTTTTTTGTATGCACATATTTCGTACGTTGAACTGCTGCCTGCCTGTTGGATTATTCACCCTTCTTGTACCCTGAGACTTGTTTACAATCTGTTGGTGGTGGGTACCAGGGTATTGGGTACAACTCAAAAGGACTGTGGCAGTTAAATAATCTCCTGTCAACTTGAGGGAGGGGTGGAGTCTGTCAATCAGGTCCTAGCCAATGATGCCTTTGTGTGGGCATGGCCTTCTGAGGATTCTAGGAACTCCTGTCTTCCTCCCTGGAGGCAGGAGACACACATACTCTCTGCTTGACATGCCTGTTTTCTTCTTTTTTTAAAAAAAACTCCCGGGGGTGGGGGGCTGTGCACCATTCCTGGAAGTACTGCAATACCAGGACGATTCGTGGAGTGGATGCAGCAAGCTCTATTCCAACTCCCTGCTACAAAAATCCATCTAATATATTGTCTTCAGATAGAGGACGGATCAGATATTAAACTGATAAGAACAGATACTACACTTGATATTAGCCAAAAGGCTGAGAAGCGATTTGCTTGACATTCCTAATGACAAGCCACATGAAGCCACGCTGACGGCAGCCAGAGCCCTGGAGATGCGTCCACCGCCACTGGGCCCACAGGACTTTCCACGCACCAGCCTGTGATCTTCCTACATTTGACATCAGTTCATGTGCTACATGAGTCTGAAGAGGAATGCATGGGCTAATATTGGACTTATGGGCTAATGTTGAACTTATGAACTTGATCTGGGCTGGACTGTTTTATTGATTCATAATTACCTTTTTTTTCTTTTTTTAAAATTATTTTATTGGGGGCTTGTACAACTCTTATCACAATCCATACATACATCAATTGTGTAAAGCACATTTGTACATTCACTGCCCTCATCATTCTCAAAACATTTGCTCTCCATCCAAGCCCCTGGCATCAGCTCCTCATTTTTCCCCCCTCCCTCCCCACTCTCCCCTCCCTCATGAACCCTTGATAATTTATAAATTATTATTTTGTCATATCTTACACTGTCTGATGTCTCCCTTCAACCACTTTTCTGTTGTCGATCACACAGGGAGGAGGTTATATGTAGATCCCTGTAATCAGTCATAATTACTTCTTGACATAAAATTCTCTCTTGCACATATGTCCCTGGATTTGTTTCTCTAATCAACCCAGATAACAGCGACCCTATGTACAACAGAACCAAATACTGTCAGGTCCTGTGACATCCTCAAAAATCATTCCCGTTTGAGGGCATTGTCGTAGCCACTATCAATCTGTTTCATTCAGAGGTCTTCCTCTTTTTTGCTGCTCCTCTTTTACAAACATGATGTCCTTCTCTAGGAACTTGTCCCTCCTAATAACATGTCCTTTGGAATGTGGAGGTCTTGCTAACCTTACGTCTGAGGAGCATTTTGGCTATACATCTTCCAAGCCAGATTTCTTTCTGGCAGTCCCTGGTATAGTCCATATTCTTTCCCAGACCAGCACTTGATGGTACTCCACTACCACTATCAACTGCTCTGAGAAGGATCTATAGAAGGTACTAAACAGGAGAAAAATGTGGAACTAAATTCAAAATCATTAGGGACATGGTTTACTGGTGGGACCCCTGATTATGGTCCTAACCTTTCATGCCTGGGATTGAACTCACATCCACGTTAGAAAATTTTGCCATTTCAGATTTTTTAAAAGGTAGCATTTACCCAAGGACAAAATTCTGAGGGTTAGGAAAGGAGAAATGGAAACAGGCAACAAGGGGAGGCAGTAGGATAAACAATGATATACTGAGGGAATCACAATGGAGTAATTGAGCCAGAAAGTGCATAAAGCATTGAATGTGTTACCTGTCACCTACTTTATAAACTCGCTGCCATGAGTCAGTGCTGACTCACAGTGACCCCTGTGGGTTTCTGAGACTGTAACTGTTTACAGGGGTAAAAAGCCTGGTCTTTCTCCCATGGAGTGGCAGACCATTCAGATTGCAGCCCGATGTGTAACCATTATACCCGTAAAGCTTCACCTAATTTATATTAATATTTTTTTGCTAACACCATAATTCCAATCCACCTTTTCCAATCTTCCATATTAATGGTTCAGCTTTCACGTGCTTTTAAGGTGACTGAAAGAAATACCATGCCTTTGGTCAGGCACACTTGATCCTAAGGATCATCTTTCCTGAACATTTTTAAAACAGGTCTTTTGCCACCGAATTGCACAATGCAGCATATATATCCTTTTGATGTTCTCACTGCTTCCATAGGTGTTGATGGTGGATTCAGGAAAAATGACTTCGTAGACCAGTGGTTCTCAACCTTTGGGTCGTGACCCCTTTGGGGGTCAAACGACCCTTTCACAGGGGCCCCCCAATTCATAACAGTAGCAAAATGAGTTATGAAGTAGCAATGAAAATAATTTTATGGTTGGGGGGTGTTACCACAACATGAACTGTACTGAACTGTATTAAAGGGTCGTGGGATTAGGAAGGTTGAGAACCACTGTCGTAGACAAATTTCAGTTTGTTAAAGAGATGATTCAGGATGAGGACTAGCCTAATCGGAAAAACACATGAATAGGGGCGTGGAGCTTTGAACCAGGTGATACCAGTCTCTCTGGAAAGGGAGAGGGGGTGGAGACTGAGTTCAATTCCCAGGTGGTGCCCATGTGTTGCAGCTCCAATAAAAACCCTGGACATCTGGGTTCTAGGAACAGTATTTTGCATCTTCTCACACATAGGTATGCTCAAAGGAAGGTGTCTTAACTCAATGGCAGGCAGAGGACAACAGAAGCTTCCGTTTGAGACGCTCCTGTACTTCACCCTGTCATTCTCTTCAGCTGGTTCTGATGTGTATCTTTGTGCTATAGGAAAACGTAACTGTAAGCACAGTACTTTCGTTCTGAGTTCTTCTGACGATCAAATCTCAGGAATCTGTTCACTCGTAGCCTGCTGGTGGACAGTGAAGGTGGCCTGGGGAACCTCTAACTAGTGAATGGTCTTTGACGTGAGAGGAATCTTACACAAGACTGTGCCCTTCACATGTAAAGGGGTGGCCTAACTCCAGGAAGGTGCTGTTAGAAGTCAGTGATAAAAATAACTATTTTAGGGAAAATAGGAGATGGAGCACATGACAGGAAGCAATGTCTGCAAATGACTTTGCATCGGTCTGCTACCCTTGTGCAGCGGACCAAAGTTCACAGGAAAATGGGAAAGATGACATTTTGCCATGAACTTTTCAAAGTGCGCTTTTACATCCATCCTTCATGTGTCTTACGCGTGAGGACTAATTAGTAACAGTTTGTGAAACACAGGCAATTGCACAAAAGAATGACCAGAACCAAAATTGTTTTTAAAATGTGAACTTCTGACACTTAAAGGATTTCATTCCAGATTCTCAATTATATAATTACAAAAAAAAATGTTTCAGGGGAACATACATAATCTTAACATAAATGCATGTCACTTATCACAAAGTTAGACAGTAAAGTTTATAAAGGAGAAACAAAACCAACAGTATTTACAAAGTTAGACTACATGAGACATTGTGAAGAATTTTTTGTCCGTAAACAATACACTACATACTTTTACACACTACATTTCAAAAGTGATGCATATGCAAATAATATGATAAAGGTGGGTAGCATTGAAGGCTTTAAAGTCAAGGTCAAGGTTGTAGTGATAAAGACTTTAAATTCAAGGACAGATTGTCTAAGAAAGGACAGACACTAGCATTCAAGTTATTTAGTCAATTAATTCCTTGTGAGTACAAAATATATAGTTATCACTAAATGAATTAGCCTAATTACAAATTTTGTTCATTTCTAAATAAGTCACAACTGCAAGAAGTCTTTTCACAGAATTATTCAGCCACATAATTTCTCTCTACCCATGTATAGTATTTGTTATATTTTAAATCCTTATTCAAAACAATTTCCTCCATTTCTATAGTTTTATAAGTATAAAATATTTTAAAACAAAGAAATATCTATTTCTTAGCTAGAAAACTATTCTTCCATGGACTGCTGGAAGAGAAAGAAAAAAAAAGATTCCATTTGCTCCCATATGTCAAAAACACAAAGCAAACTCAAACAACCCAACTCCTAATGTACTGTCGCATAGAACACAGGGCCTGAAACAATATTTCATGCTAGTTTTCCTGCTAGATGCTGAGAACAATTTATTTATGTACATTATTGAAAAATCTATTTAACAGACGGGATTCATCCCAGCGCTTCCATCAGCAGAAGCCTTGCTAAAAGAGGCGTGAGCAGCGGCGACGGCGGATGGGCACATCAAAGACTCTCCTCCGCCTCTCTTCTTCATCCTCATCGGACTCATCCATATCTGCTGACTCCTCCTCTTCTTCCTCCTCCTCCTCCTCCTCCTCTTCCATCTCCTCATACTCATCAGGACCCATTTCCTTAGAAGAAAAAACAATCTTTTGATAAAAACAATTTCAATTTTAGTTATCTGTCCTTGGTATTTCATGTAAATTCACATTTATTTAGAAGGCAAACACATGCACAAAAAATACACATTTTCATAAACGAACATATGTTCCTAATGTACATGCTTAGTGATGTAAGAGCGTAGAGTGTATTCTGTAATCAAATTGCCAGCATGATCTTAATGGTAAATGTGTTTCATTAATATGTTTATTTTTGTATACAGCAGTTGATAATTCAAATGAAGTAGCAATCAGACTATTCCTATTCACTCAACAGAGGTGTACTGAATGTATATTAATCTATTAAGTCCCAACTATTTAGCAATCTATGTGGTGGCATGGTGGTATGAGCACTGGGTTGCTAACAGCAGACACTTTGTGGGGGAAAAAATTAAAAACAATGTGGAAATATTTATCAAATGTGTCAGCAAGAGGCTTGACAGATGTTTGAGCACTTACTCTAAAGTACCTCATCTCAATTTCACTACTACTGGTAGCCTCTCAGTGTAGAAGAGTAGTGGCAATGCTTTAATTTCTGCCTCCTAATAACACTGGAAGTGGTGGGGGGCACGCGTCTTCAGAAAAGCTCCTGGACACTACATATTATAGGACAGTAAAACAACAAAAAAAACATGCATACATTTCAGCTAAAACGTTCCCCTGGATTCTGTACTAGTCAGACCTTATCAATGGCATTATGATCATGCCTGAGCAATATGGTTGAGAGGGACACTGATAATAAAATAAAGCAAGTCTAAAGGCGGTGACCAGAGTTTAACAACCAGGCACATTTGAAGTACTTAGGTATTTAGCAGCAACTGAGAAGTTGATGGAAAGGAAGAGGAAGCATGCTTGGTATTGATCTTAACAAATGAAAGGGCAGTCACGTGAGAGGGGGACTATGCTTACTCTGCAGGAGTAGCACAATCATCTCAACCAGGGGCTGGCCAAGTATTTCTATGAGTGAGTAGACAGTAAATGCTTTTGGCTTTGTGTAACTACAGTATCTATTTCAACTATTCAGCTATAGTCTGTTACAACCACTGGCAACACAGAAACAAGTGATCATGGTGTGCTCCAATACAACTTTACTGACAAAAGCAGCCAAGAGGCCAGATTTGGCCAATGGGACACAGTTTGTAGAACCTTTGTTTAAACCAACAAAGTTAGAGAGGTGGATACAGGCTCATAATGAGGATTTCAAGTATGCCTTTTTAAGAAATGAGCTCAGAATCAGACTGCAGAAAGTACAAGTCTGTGAATTAGCATCACCTTTTAAAGAGGATATTTGTATTATTTAACTAAATTGGGAGTTTTAGCAAGTAAAGACACTGTAAGAAATTATTTTCTTTTTTAAAAAAAATCATTTTATTGGGGGCTCATACAACTCATCACAATTCATACATACATCCATTGGGTCAAGCACATTTGTACATTTGTTGCCATCATCATTCTCAAAACATTTGCTTTCTGCTTGAGCCCTGGGTATCAGCTCCTCGGAAATTATTTTCTTAATGAAATAAAATAGATCCGATTCCAATTGATCTAGTGAGGTTCTTAGATCGCAGAACAGTTTTTGAAATGGTGGGAAAGAAGCCAATCCTTTGAATAAGTCAATAGCCATGGAGTTTCTCCGATTGAAGATTTTGGAGCCAAACATATTTTCCCACCTCCCGGAACAAATTCACAAGGTCCTTCAATTCCTCAGCATCGCTGGATGCTTCAGGGAGCATCACTTATAAATCACTTGTCAACAAAGACACCCTGTAGAGTTAATCCCTACAGTCATGCAAATTAGCTTCCAGAGGGAAACTTAACTCACCAATCGGGCTATAGACACCCTGAATGTTGGACATGCCATATGGAATCGGGGAATGGCGACATTAAAGATCTTGTCTTTGAAGTAAAGGAAATGGAAGGTATAGTAACCTTCCATATATCCTGATGTTGTAGAGAATGTGGTGCAACTTGTGTATTCGTATACCCGACCTGGGCTGATAATCGGAAATTCACCTGTTGAGACAAGAGTAATATTAAACCAAGGTATAAAATTCATTTTTTCTCTTATAGTCTCAGAAACCCACTGGGCAGTTCTATCCTGCCCTACAGTCACTATGAGTCAGCATCGACTTAATGGAAGTAAGTTTGAGTTCTGAAGTCTTTAAAAATAGCAAGAGATTAAGACACATTCTGAACATGCACCTCAAAACAAAAATTGCAAGAGGGAGTCCAACAGACCAAATTACAGAAAAAGAATTAAGCTTTAATAAAATTACTTAGCACTACATTACTACATAAATATGTAGAACATGTATCTATCGGCAGCACTGAATTAGAGAAACTTTCATTAAATTGAATTTTGTGTATCCTTGGAGCTGATAACAGAAATATATAATTGAATATTATATTTCTTTCCTGAAGCATATATTAAAAAACTGAAAAAATATGAAGATTCCGGAATTTATGATCATCTTAATTTTTAAAAACTAAATGTCAGTGGTAACGAGAGCTAAAGATTAAAATCTGCAAGCCATAAAAACCTACGCTACTGAATTTAACATTTTACTTCCAAGCTTCATAAAGGTAACCAAATGAAATTCATTTTCTCTTTCTGTCCTATGCCTTCTAACTCTATAGAAAATGATAATGAGTAATTAACCAAGTAAGAAAACAAAGTACGTAAGAAAAACAAGAAACCTAGGTGACCAATAACATGTGCTATTCTAATTTTAGAAAAGCTAATTAGTTTTAAGGTAGTAAACTGGTAGGATAATGATCATTGTTATCTATTAAACAGTATTTATTGTAATTAGGAGACACCCAGGTCTGTAACTTTCACACTGTAGAACTCAACTACCAAAAAGGTACAGTCATCCATGTTCCATTAACTCCATCACACATTCTCCAGGCCAAGTGTCACATATGTACTCTCTTAAATGACTAAATCTAGGGTTACATACCAACTACTCCAGGTCCTTGAACTTCCTCTACATCACCTTTAGCATTGGTTATTCTCCAATAGCGACTGTCCAACTGACAAGCCTTCTCGGGAAGTGCATCCTTTGACATTTCAATTCTGAAGAGAGAGGGGTAATAAAATCATGTATCTGACCTTTTTAAGAGTTATGGTACTCAGGGAACATTGAGGGGCATGTCCAAAGGAAACTAACCAACTCAAGCCCGATGTTAACCATCAAATCTCATGAAGGCCTCAAAGTCATTGACCTAACCAGCTTGAGCTACCAGAGAGTGTTTTCTTGCTTTCTTTTTTAAAAAAATATTTTCTGCATTATTTTTTTAATCATTTTAAGGGCTCATACAACTCTTATCACAATCCATGCATACATCAATTGTGTAAAGCACATTTGTACATTCATTGCCCTCATCGTTCTCAAAACATTTGCTCTCCACTTAAGCCCCTGGCATTAGATCCTCATTTTCCCCTCCCTCCCCCCTCCCCCCTCCCTCATGAGCCCTTGATAATTTATAAATTATTATTTTGTCATAGCTTACCCTGTCCGATGTCTCCCTTCACCGACTTTTCTGTTGTCCGTCCCCCAAGGAGGAGGTCACATACAGTTCCTTGTAATCGGTTCCCTCTTTCCAACCCACTCTCCCTCTACCCTCCCAGTATCACCACTCACACCACTGGTCCTGTACGGATTCCCTGTATTTCCAGTTCCTATCTGTACCAGTGTACATCCTCTGGTCTAGCCAGACTTGAAAGGTAGAATTCGGATCATGATAGTGGGGGGGTGGGGAGGCATTTAGGAACTAGAGGAAAGTTGTATTTTTCATCGTTGCTACATCGCACCCTGACTGGCTCGTCTCCTCCCCGAGACCCCTCTGCAAGGGGATCTCCAGTGGCCTACTAATGGGCTTTGGATCTCCACTCTGCACTCCCCCCATCATTCACTATGGTAAGATTTTTTGTTCTGATGATGCCTTATCCCTGATCCCTTCGACACCTCATGATCGCATAGACTGGTATGCTTCTTCCATGTGGGCTTTGTTGCTTCTGAGCTAGATGGCCGCTTGTTTACCTTCAAGCCTTTAAGACCCCAGACACTATAACTTTTGATAGCTGGGCACCATCAGCTTTCTTCACCACATTTGCTTATTCACCTGCTTTGTCTTCAGCGGTTGTGTCGGGAAGGTGAGCATCATAGAATGCCAATTTAATAGAAGAAAGTATTCTTGCATTTAGGGAGTACTTGAGTAGAGTCCCAATGTCCTTCTGCTACATTAATACTAAACCTATAAATGTAGGTTTTCACTTAATTTTGTGCACTCAACAACAGGATCAACAACTGAAAGGGCCACATAAAAATTTACATACACTGAGAAACTTTTTCTAGAATACCAGGAAAACCTTCTGAACAATGAATAGTTAGTCTTCCTTTCTTTACAAAGTTTTATAACCCATTTCCCATTTTTCCATTAGTTTCTAGAAAGTTCAGAGCAAAATGCCCTCATTAGCTACTGGGGGTGCACCGTGACTGTTTCTAGTAGAGGTAACCCTTGAACAACACGGGTTAAACTGTGCATTTTTAAAAACACTGGGTAATGCTAATTACTTTAGTTTATCTCTAATAAATTTCAAATCCTAATAAAAGGTCACTTTCTGGGATTCTTGTGTATTTTCCATTGTGTGGTACAATCCCATAATCTTGAATCATACCACAGACCAATACAAAGTGGTACTGGTGATGCTGGATGAGCTCCAAAGAAGCAGAGAAAAGTCATGACAGGACAAGAATATGAAACGCCTGCATTGGAGAGTGTAGCATATGCCGAATAGTAATAATTTATACATTATCAAGGGCTCATGGGGGGGGGAGTGGGGAGGGAGGGGAAAAATGAGGAGTGGATACCAAGGGCTCAAGTAGAAAGCAAATGATTTGAGAATGATGATGGCAACAAGTGTACAAATGTGCTTGACACGATGGATGGATGGATGGATGGATGGTGATAAGAGTTGTATGAGCCCCCAATAAAATGATTTTTTTTAAAAAGCCTGATACTGAGGAATGACATTCAAGGTAAATGAATCCAATGTAAGGGTCATTGCTGCAGCCACATCGGCAGGTGGGAAAATCGAATACATATACAAAATATGTGTTAATCAACTGTTTGATGCTAACTTTACAGTTTCTAGTCAACAGTATGCTATTAGCAGTTCAGTTTTGGGGGCGTGAAAAGTTTTATGTAGATTTTTGACTACATGAAGGGTGGCAGTTGTTCAAGGGGTTACTGCATTTTTATTTCCCACCTTACTCTAAGAATCTCTTATTTTCAAGTACCCTATAAAAGCACATGGCTAAGGTTTCATGCTGCAGCAGTTACCACAATTCTTTTACACGCAGAAGGTCCTAGACCCAGTGGACCCCCAAGAAGGATTTAAGGAACTCGCAGTACTATTGGGTACGTGCTGGATTGCTAACTGCAAGGTCGCTGAATCAAAGGTACTAGCATTTCATGCGACAAAGAGAAGGCTATCTGCTCTCAGGCACTTTATATAAAGTTGCTATGAATCAGAATTTTTAATAATATATAAGCACATGTAAGTGATTTTATTCATAACATATCAGTACTAGTAAAACAAAAATTAAAACCTATTGCCATTGAGTCAATTCTAATACATACAAGAGAGAATTACCCCCACTAGGTTTTTAAGGCTGTAACCTTTATGCTAGCATATTGTCAAATCTTTTTATACAGAGAGGCCGGTACGTTCGAACTGCAGACCTTCCAGTTAGCAGGCAAGTACGTAACCAGGACGTCACTACAACTGCTATGTCAGTCTTATGCAGGATCTCAATTATACAATTAAAAAGCATCTGTACATGTGAAACATGATAGAACCAAGATATTTCTAGGCTGCTTCATGGTAAGCATGTCAAACTCACTGCCATGAAGTTAAACTGCCCGCTGTGGGTGTTTAAGACTGTAACTCTCGACAAGAGCAGGGAGCTTCTTAGCTAATACTAAAATTTTTCAATGTTTCTTGGTAAGTATACATAATCATATTTTAGAATATGAGGGGACTTCAAAAAGTTTGTGAACAAAATGTATTAAAAATGATGAATTTTTTCAAAGCATCCTTGTATACATACATAAAATATATTAAGAAAAAGTATCCTTAATCCTTTAGAATGAGTTGTTTTTGTGTCATAGCTCAGGGAAGTTCTAATTAAGAGAATATGAAATAATTTATTGGTTTTTAAACCAGATCCAATACTTAAAATCTAGTATAACATAGAAGAAGCACTTAGTAAATATTCATTAGACTTTTATTTGGAAATAGGCATGAAATTTGAATGCATGGTTTTGTGTTCAGCCAACTTGATACCTTTTTCAAATCCATTACAAACTCTAATACCTGGCTTTACCCATCCTTGTATATTGTACCAGGCACAATACTTTGTATGCAGGATATTTGTAAATAATAATAAATAGCAATAGATAACTTAAATAACTTAGAGGTTAATGTAAACTTAAGGTGTACTTGCTGTTAAAAATTCATCAGCCTCTTTCCTCCATATTTTGGCAAGAAGCTACCTTTCAAAATATGTTTCATATGTCATGTGAAATGAAACAAAATAAACACACCCATAGGCTATAACCCATTAGTAACTGAAACGTGACCCCATTTAGAATCCTCACCTGATTCGGTACGTGAAGAAATAGTGGGGAGGATGTACAGAGCTAAGTTCTGGCAGAAATGATGTGGAAACTGAAACTGTAATGTCCCCAGTTGTTGCTACACACTCTGGATCATGAACATACCTAGGTAATGAAAAAAAAAATTTTAATCAATTAATTTTCATTCCATAAAAGATTTAAAGATACAATCAATACAAATTAGCTTATACTTGATGATAAAAAAATTTAAATCACATTCGGTTATGTTTGGTGCCTTTAAGGTAGAGTCCTATGGAGCACAGAAGACAACTAGACCTGTTAAGCTAACCAGAAACTTTGGCAACTCTGGATCGCTAATGACAAGAACAGTCTGAGATCCAATGAGCAATGGTCAAATACTGGATTAGTGAGTAGTTGGAAACTAAAATCGTCTTCAGAGTTAGGGAAACTTTTGTGCTCTCTGAAAACCCAATTACACCCAATAAATTATGGGTATGATAGAAATAAATGAAAAGGATTAGTATACTGTTCCACTTAAAACAAACTCACCGTCAATTCTGATTCATACAAACCCTATAGGGCAGGTTGGAACTGCCCTATGGGTTTTTGAGACTGTAACTCTTTATGGGAATAGAAAATTGCATCTTTCTCCCATGGAGCGGCTGGTGATTTTGAACTGCTAACCTGTGGTTAGTAGCCCAACACATAACCACTATGCCATCAGGGCTCCCATATTGCTCCTAAGAGGACTAAAATGTCTAAATTATCTATCATTCCTGAAAATTCAGCCTCTGTGAATCTATTTTACCTTTAATACTATAATACCCGAGTGTTCTATTTCAAGATAATATTTTTTACCGGGAGTTAGTAGTTCCTAACTTGCTACTCATAGTAAATCTACTCACTTCCAAACAACCTGCCTTGCCCAAGTAAATTATTTATCAATTATAAAGCCATAAGCATTTAAATAAAAATCTCTTTGCTTTTTTCAAGATAAGAAAACTACTGGCTGTTCAAGAGTTTGCACATTTAGCTTTAACATTTTTAAAAAGCCCCAAATGAAATACCTGAAAATCTGGTCTCTGATGATAGGGAAGCCGCCTGATACAACATTGCTGACATAAGAGGTAAACCAGTCAGTAAAAGTAGTACCTGGTAAACCAGGAAGGAAAAAGAAATGCATTGTAAGATACCAGAAACATTTATAATTTTTCTCAACTTAGGGTGTGATATCATAACCCCCCACCAAAAAAAGAATAACAGTCTAGAAAGTCATATAGAGAAATTCTAATGTGTCACGTGGTGTTGATATGATTCCAAATTCAACTCTGACAATACACAACCACCAAGAACAAGGCAAGAAAAATGAAATATTGTACTATTTACAGAATGTTCTGGAAGTATTAGCCAGTGCACTTACAGAAGAGAAGTAAATAAGATGTGTAGTATTACAAAGATGAACATTTAGTATTAGTACACGAAATCACTGTGTGTATTTTAATGAAACTAGAGAAATGAGATACATTATAAGAAACATGTTGATTATAATTGGTTAGGATTTATAAAAATTAAAAGAGATGTGTTAATATTAATTCAATTTAAGAATATAATGAACATTACTTTCCTAGATAAGGGTAATAATATATGTGAAAGTTTGTGTGTGTATATACTTATATATATATAAATCTAAAAACGTTGATTATATAAAAGAAACTTGAATAAATGAAAAGGTCATAACCTCTTCTTGTAATAAGAAGACAAATTGTGCTTTTGTTAAAAAAGCAAATTTTATTCATCCAATGTAATCCCAATAAAATATAATATTTCACTTTGGAAAAAAAAGGTGTGGTGTCAAACATGGAAACATTTTGGATCTAAATCCTACTCGTCCTTCATCGGGTCAATTTCCTTTGTCAGTTCTATCTCATCGTTCCCTGAGATTCTGTGCTAAACAAAAAATCAGACTTGAATCCGCCATAAGGTAGATTGGAAGAAAGGCCTGGCAATCCACTTCTGAAGAATCAGCACTGAACACTCGGTGGAGCACGTTTCTATGGACACACTCAGGTCACCATGAGTCAGAATCGACTTGAAGGAAACGGAGGAGGAGGAAATCACATGAAACAAACCCGAACTCACTGTCATTGAGTTCATTCCGACTCACAGCAATTCTATAGCACAGGGTAGAACTGCCCCTCTGAGTTTCCAAGCCTCCCCTTTCTTCTGAGGGTGACTGCTGTTTTAGAACTGCTGCCCTTGCGGTTAGCAGCCCAACTTGGAAGCACTACACCACCAGGGCTCCAATAGCTAAACAGTGAGGTCTAAGCTTAAAGACTTTTTATAACTTGCTAGCTAGGATGAGGCCAGTTTGCAAAAAAACCACAAAGCTGGAACAAGCCAGAGCAGAGAACAAATGAAAAATTATTATTCTGTTCAAGGTTTATTCAGGGCACCTTTACTATCAATACATGGGGATGCTCAGTATGTGCCACTGTTTTTAAAAAGCAGAATGAGGCATCAGGAAGCTTCTCTTAAGTGTGCAAATTCTAAGGAAAACCAGATTGAAGGAATACCGAAGGAGTGAGTTACACTTGCACACAAATTTGAGGGTTCTTAAAAACCTGTAAGAAGGACTTTTTAAGGTCAAGAAAAATGAGATGTGCCGGGTGCTTATGAAGCACAGAGATTGGTCTCTGAAAAATCGCTGCTCTGAGGTCACTGGCCTCAGAAGAGAAGTAAAAAGTTGTTTTGCACAGATCTATAGCTCTAGATTATGCAAATATGAAAGAAAATGGTCAAAGGAACATATATACCCGTTGATGGTGGTCCTTCATAGTCACTCTTCTGCACCCCAAAAGTATAACATTGCACAGGGCATGGCTGTTATGCCCAAATAAGAAACCAAATCCAAACAAAAATAGGAGTGCTGTGTTAGTGACAGCCCAGATGTATTACCGTATCAACGACAAGCCTTACGGAGCACAAGAACTAAAGTGCTGACTTGCAAATTAATGGAAACATTTTTTAACCTTTCTTTCTTTTTTTTTTTTAAGCAGGAGGCAAACAAAGGAAGACTGCTTTCTCTTACCTATGATAAACATGTCAATAGCAGCTGGATTCCGAGCTATCTGATCCTAGGAGAGAATAAGAATGTTGTAATTAATAAAAGCTTTCACTGTATTTTTCAATGTACCTTATCTCTTATCTTTAGATGATGCAAAAGAGAAAAAAATAAAAATAAATTGAGACTCCAACCAATACTCAGACATTTCTCAGATCTTGTTCTTATGATTTCTTGATTTGAGCTCTCACTAATAAAGCCCCTGGAATAACAGTTAAGATACCCAAAGAGTTTATTAACCATGACAATGAACTAAAAAAAAAAATCCTTCATGAAAACAATCAGGGAAAGTAACATAAGAAGACATATAACGTACTGCCTAACAGAAGGGGCTTCAGATTCAAGACACCTCAACAATTCTGAGTAAACAAAGAGACGGCCACTGCTATGTCCACCTTAAAGATCCATCAAGTCAAAAATGGTATCAAAGATTTGGGAATACTTGGGTGGGGGTGGGCAGGAAAGCTATGTAGGAACTCTAAATATTTAAAAGCGATATGGTGTTACATGTCTCAGATAACTATAAAAACCATTTTCTACCCTATAATCCTTTGCATCATAGGCAAAAATAAAGGCAGAGGTTCGATAACTAAGGGATTACTGAGAACAGCTGAAGAAAAAAGGATGGAACCAAAGACCATATTTTCTATCATTATATTAAAAATGCTAACAAGCTCCTATTCAAAAAACTACATTTTTAGACAATTCAAATTCTTCTGGTAGAGTGTTTTGGACATTTTCACTGTACTCAGAGCTTGAATCAAAGGATATTCAAACTAAATTTTCAAAAATCAGAAAACTACATTACAGTTAATTATGTCAACAAAAGGCTCATTATTTTTCCTAAACCTTAATTTTGTTTTTCCTTTTCAATTTAAAGACACATTTTATTTGGACAGAACCACTTTTTTAAAAAAAAATAGCTTTATTGGAGCATAATCCACATATCATACAATTCAGTAGTAACCTTAATTTTTTTTTTTAAACACAAAACATTACGTGTGTGTTTTTCATTGTTTGTCCATTGGTAACACTTTCTTTTGGCAGTTTATGCCATGTCAGAATAAGAAAGTTTTGTGATAAATTGCATAATTTTCTATACCACCCATTCTACACCCTGAAAAAATATCTAACATGCACATTTTTATCCAATTAACAGGACATATCTTAGAGTCACATTTGAACACACTTCCTACTTACCGGACATTGGTAGAAAACTTCATTTCTGTTTCGGCCTTCTGCAGCTTCCACTGCTATGTACTGACTCAAACCAGTGTGTATGCAAAAAGTGAGAGGGAGACAATACTTCAGGCCCTGTCTCTGCTGGAACCCTCCGGCAGCTGTATCGACGTCTAGCAAATCCTCAGAACGATAGTGGTTAGACAGTGCCATACTTCCCAACAACCTGAAAAGAATCAGACTCAAACAGTGAATAAGCTGCAGTGCCAAACAAACACCTATGCTTTTGAAGAACAACCTGATTGTCTGGATGAACAATAATTTCACATGGTCAACTTTACGAGTAGGGCGCCACGTGGCCATCCTAAACCAGGAACACCACAGACACTACAATGTCTAGAGGGTAACCCAAACTCTGCTAAGTGAAGGTAAGATGATTTACATTTAAATGTCTAGAGTTTAGCCTGAAAAGGAGAAACGTAACTTTGGACATACGAAAGAATCTAGCTGGCCAGGTTATGTTGTAATTCACTCGAACTCACTGCCATCGAGTCCGTTTCGATGCCCAGCGATCCTACAGGATGGGACAGAACTGCTCCTTTGGCTTTTAGAGACTTCAGCTCTTATGGGAGTACAAAGTCTCATTTTACTCCTGCAGAGTAGCTAGTGATTTCGAACTGCTGACCTTGCTCAACTTGTAACCAGTATGCCAATAAGTAGGTGTCGCTGATTTAAGACGAGGGAACCTTGGTGGTGGAGGGGTTACCCACTGTGCTGCTAACTGCAAGGTCGGCGTGCGGAACCACCAGCACTCCACCAGTGAAAGCCAAGGCTCTCCGCTTCCGCAGAGAGTTAGTTTTGGACACACGCAAGGGCAGTTCTAACCGGTCCTATAGGGCCATAAGTGTCGGAATCAACTCGATGGCAGTGAGGGTTTTTTAAGTTGATTTACTATTGAAAAGGGTAAACGCTCTCTGACACTTTTATTTTGACACAACCTTTGACTTGCATGATCTCTATGAGGCAGAATGTAAATCAGTCAAAACTTTGTCCACATTTTCGTAAATTCTGAATGCCTGGGATTTCAATGAATTTTACTGTATATACAAGGCGGCTTCAAAAGTTTTGTAGAGAAAAATGGAATTAAAAAGATAATGGAATAATACATGACAGTGACACAGGTCTCAAGGTCTACCTGGCCCTTGACAAGATTCCTATCCTAAGTCTCACTGCCTGGGCTAGACACATAAAAAAAAAAATCCATGTTGAAATCCACAACCTCTTTTCTAAGCCACTCTCTTAACAAGTTCTCTATTTACTCTTGAAAGACAATTCTTCAACCGTTTCGTTTCAGTTAGACAGGAAAATAGACTAGGGGGGAAACGTGAATAACTTAATGCCTACCTAGAACTAACTTCTAGCTCTGATGATGCCCAATATTTGATTTTGAATGCTACCTTGTAGCCTCAATATGATCATCTCTAGAATTCCCTGAACCGACTCAACTCTGATCTTATCACTCATAAGATGTCAAGAGCGGTGCCAAGTTCTCCCCAAATCCTTACTCACTGCCATCAAACCAATTGGACTCACAGTGACCCTATAGGACAAGGTAGAACTACCCCGTGAGTTTCCAAGACTGTTAACTCTATGGGTGTGCAAGGCCTTGTCTTTCTGAAGAGGAGGAAGTTAGTGGTTTCAAACTGCTGACCTGCGGTTAGCAGTTCAACACGTAACTACTAAGCCACGAGGGCTCCTCTACAAAGCCTCAGAAACTGTATACTGTGTCACTGTGAGTTGGAACGCAGTTGATGGCAGTGGGTTTGGTTTTTGGGTTAGTTCAAGAAAAGGCTAGAAGTTCTTTCATTGATTTAAAAATGACACGTGAAGGTGACAGTGATGAAGCATTTTGATTCAGTAATTTCAAAGCGGGGCAGTTTAACCTAACAATAATAGGCAAGTCGAAGTTGTCTATATTTGTCTATTTCCATAGCCCTGGGGCTACCAGTAAGTGAATGTGTTGGTAGAAATGATGTTTTCATGAGGCTCATTTATCTTGGTTATATCTAGCTATTTATAGATATAATATACATACATATATATAGTGCCTTATAGATGACTATAAAAAAGAATAGGAAATTCCTATATTCCTGCAATTGGTTAAGGGTAACCACAAAAACAATTTATTTACTTTCATTCTAGAAATTAACTTGCAGCATTAAAATAGCCAAAGGTTGCCCATCTTACCCAGGAACCACTAACTTCTGTCCATTGTGAATTCGATATGAACAGCGGTAATCATCGGGGAGCTTGCAACCGATTTGAGCTTCCACGGCATCTAGATCTTCCTCTCGAGCACCCTCTGCAAATACACATTTAAAAACATTTCTAAAGAAACACTAAGTATTAAGTCTAAGAAGACATACCATATAGCTCATAACAATGTAACAATCTTAGAGTCAAGTGAATTCTGTCCAAAATGAAATGCTGAACTAAAGGCAGTGAACTGAAAATTCGGATAAACATTGTATCTTTTGGCCATTTGAAGTCCTGAGCAAGCAAATTCCTTAGTTTCCCCTCCATAGGGAACACACCAGCAGGAAGCAAAGTATGGAAAGATGGGTTCCAAGGAGTTCCACAATGTCCTCCTACAACACAAACTTTACAGGTCTTTTCTTAAATCTAACACACACAATTTTGTTAACTGACACAAACCAATGGCTCCCAGAAGTTCTCTACTGGGTAGTCTTGGAATATGAAATGTTAGACATAGTACGTTCATGCTGTGTGGAGGCTCTTCACCTGGATTCTACTTCACATGTCTGTACACTTGCCACATTTTCTACCTTTAAAGAGCAGGAAACAATGAAAAATACCAGAGTAGAGAGAGCCACTTCCAACAACAGCCTCCCAGGCCTGGAAGCAACTACAAACGCTAAACAACAGCCACCAGAAACCTCGGTTTGAAGTGTTTGGCCCGATAAGAAGTAGAAATCTCAGAGAAGGTGGCCCCTCGTCTGGTTCTTCCTGCCCCTGTCACTCGGGCAACCATGCACCCTGAAAGCAAATGTGAACCAAGGGGCTGAGGAGCTGAGCAGAGCTCTCCGCAACACCTCAGGACTAGAGAAATATAGAGGATTTCCCAAAATCGATGAACACATCAAGACACAGGTTCAAGCACTATAAGCCTCATAGAGAACAATTACAAAGAAAATAATATTGAGATACATCATCTGGAAAACGGAAAATCAAAGATAAAGAGAAACCTTAAAAGCAGCCAGGAGGGAAAAAAATACCTACTTACCTTCCAAGGAGCAAAAACAAGATTGACAACTAAATTCTCAATAGAAACAATAGAAGCCAGGAAAATGTTATTTTCAGAGCACTAGAAAAAAATCATTGCTAACCAGAATCTTATATCCAGTGAATACATCTTTCAAAGGGAAGATTAAATTCATTTCTATGGTAAATAAATCTAAGAATCTCATCAACAGCAGTCCCCAACTGAAAGAAATACTAAAAGGAATTGTTCCGGCAGAAGGACAACCATCTCAGAGAAGTGTAAAGATGAGGGACGCAGCAAAGAGCGACAGAAGCAGTAACGAGGGAGACAGATCTGAAACCACGCTGAATATATGAAATTACGTTTTTAGGGATTTAAAATACACAGAAATTAAAATCACAACAATTATAACACAATGGGCAGCAGGAAGGAGAGAAGTAGAGTTAAAGTATTCTAAAACTTCCCAATGTCCGAAAAGCAATAAAAATACTAATTTGCATTAGATTTTAATAAATCAAACATGTATGCTGTAATCTTTAGAGCAATCACAAAAAGAAGATAGAAGAAAGGGGGAGAATGAAACAAAAGAAAACTGAAAATAAAGAATAATAGTAAGACAGACACTTACTTGACTTAAATAGACACATGGTACACTTAAACTCAATGACATTGGTTATTACAATAAATATATGTAGACTAAATAATCTAATTAAGATCAGCAGACTAGATAAAAAAATAAAACACAATTATCTACCACTTACAAGAGATACATCCAAAAAATATAGACATAAAACAGTGCCAGAATAGCTTTACTAAGATCAGAGAAAGGAGATTTTACAGTGAACATTATTAGAGCTAATAGAAGATTTTCATAGTGAAGAAAAGATTAAATTCACTGGGCTGACATGTAATTCTAAAATGTATGTTCCTAATAATACATCTCCAAAGTACATTTTAAAATATCACAGAACTAAAATGGGGAAAAAATAAAGCAACAATTAGAGTGGGAATATTCATTTTTTACTGCTGCATAACAATGACCACAATTGAAGCCACTTCAAACAACGCCCATTCATCACTCCACCGTTTGTGAAACTGGCAGGTCTGGGCATGACCACTGTATCCTCTGCTAGGATCTCAGAAGCCTGAAATCATGGTGTCCACTAGGGCTGCGCTCTCATTCTGGTTGTTGGCAGAATTCAGTTCCGTTTCATTGTAGGACTGAGGTGGTTGGTTCCTAAAAAGCACTTGGCTAATCCCTACCACAGGTCTGCTCTACAACATGGTAGAACATGTTCTTCAAGACAGCAGAAGATGTATTCGTGCTTGAAACCGCTCTTGGTTCCTGGAGGGCCCAGTCGCTTTTATAAACTCACCTCAATTACGTCAGGCCCACTCAAAATAATCTTCCTTGTGATGACCTTAAATTCATTTCGAACCTTGATTACATCTGCAATATTCCATCATCATCACATAACAGAACCTAGTCATGGAAGTAAACATTATATTCACAGTTCTGTCCGCACTCAAGGGGAGGGGATTACTGGGTCATATATATGGACACCAGCAAGCAGGAATCTTGGGAGGCTATCTTAGAATTCTACTAACCACAGTGAGAGATGTTAATACTGCTCTCACTAATAATCAGACAAAAATTAATGAAGATAAAATTAACATAGACGATCTGCATAAGATGAATAAAATTTACATAATCATTGCATATTGTACTAACCCCCACAACTGAGAATATATATTATTTTCAGGTCTAGATGAAATATTTACCAAAATAGATAATATGCTGGACCTCAAAACAAAGCTCACATTTCAAATGATTGACCTCATATAGAGTATGTTCTCCGGTCAAAATGGAAATCAACTATAAATTACCTTGTGATTTTTCTCTTCCTATTTTCCATTAGAAAAATACAATATCCCACTTTCCAATTTGGGAATCAAAGGGAATGTTTTCAATCTAATAGACTCTCTTAAACAAACACAGCAAGCGTCACATTCGAAGGTGAAACGTTGTAAGCTTTGCCCTGTGATCAGAAAGGTAAGGCTGCCCACATCAGCGTGCTTAGTCAACACTGATCTGAAGGGCAAAGCCAGTGCAATAAAGCAAGTTTTTTTAGAAAAATGACATAGGGCTGGAACACTAGAAACAAATCTGTCATTCTACATTTTCCAGAAAATGTATATTAAAACCACTGCTGTACACCCACCAGACAGGCTAAAATAAAACAGAATGGCAAAAGGAAAGAGCTGGTGGGAATGTATATTGGTAGAACCATTTTGGAAAATTAACAGTATCTTTTCAGACACTACAATCCTAGATATTTATTTACCCAGTAGAAATGTTTACATATACACAGAAAATACAAATTATAGCATCATTTGAAATAGCCCAAACCAAAATCACTTAAATATCTATCCATGGTAAAATGAATGTAGACACGGTGGTCAACTAATGTAATAGAGTGCTATACTGCATAAAAAGGAAAAAAACTACAAACACGCACCAGGGCTGAGCCTTACAGACCACAGAAATAATCCACACAAAAACAAAGAAAACTCCTTGATGGCATTCCCAATCAGAATAATGATAACCTTTGTGGAAAAGGGAGGGGACCCAATTTGGGCACAAATGATATCTTCTTTTGAACTGGAGGATGTTAGTTGGCATGTTCACTGTGCGATAATTCACTGACATGTTTGCTTGGAATTTGTGTACATTTCTGTATGTTAGCTGACATCATCAATGACGCCAAGTGGCCATCTTGAGCCCACTGCCAGATCTGTGATGAGAAGAGCACTTCATCTCAGTGCTAATCTTTCTAACGTGTGCTAACCCAGTGCTTTATCATCTGTGCTAATCCCTTCCTCTGTGTAACCCCAGTAAGGTAAACATTAGGCAAAGTCAATTTGAGAAACGTTCTACAAAATACTCAATACGTTCCAGACCAATGCTCCTTAAAACGTTCCAGGAAAAGGGACAAGCAGAATATACCACTAAATGCAAAGTGGTATTCTGCATTGGGTCCTGGGGCAGAGAAAGGGATAAATGAAAAAATGAAGAAATCCCAATGAATCTGGAGTTCAGTTAATAAGAGTGTATCCATTGAGGCTTTGAGTTTTGAGAAGCCTTCCTGGTAATGTAAGAGGGAACAGCATGGGAAGTTGAAACTGGGGGACCGTGCACAGGTAGCCCCTAGACTTTCTTTACAACTTTCCTTCAAACCTAAAATGATCCCCAGATAAAGCAGCACATTTCAAAAAGTTTTTTTCACAAGGAATGCAGCTATAGCCGTTACATACATACATAATCTCCTGTCAACTTGCAAAGGCTGGAGTCTAGCCTGTCAATCAGGGCATGGCCTTCTCTGAGGATTCTGGAAAGTCCTCTCCTCCTCCCTGGAAGCGGGACACACTCTCTCTGCTTCGTCTTCCTGCTGACAAGCTACATCTCCATGTACACTGAGGGAGCCAGAGCCCTGGAGCTGGAGGAGCCACATGGAGACCCACGCCAGTGCAGAGATGCTGCCACCACCACTGGATCCACAAGACTTTTCAACCACTGGCCTGTGGATCTTCCTGCATTTGGCATCATTGCATGTGTTGCATGAGTCTGAAGAGGAATTTATAGACTGGTTTCAGATATATGGGTGAATATTGGACTTAAGGACTTATTCTGGACTGGGCTGGGATGTTTTCTTAATATGTAATTACTCTTTACATAAAGCTCTTTCTCATGCACCTGAGTGCCTATGAATTTGTTTCTCTAGTCAACCCGGACTAACACACCAGCTGAACAGCTGCCGGTAAGTTGCAAGAGGAAAGAAACTAGTATTTTTGTATGCTAGAAGCTATCTGTTGGACATTTGATACAGAACATTAACAAATCAATAATTTTTTTTAAAAAAATCAATTTCTTGAGGAAGATGGATAATTAGACAGAAAAAGAAGTCATAACATCAACAACGAAGCCACAAACATGCTAAATACACAAAACTAAGAAAACCCACATTTTCAATACAAGAAAATCAAAGTTTGTTGTTATTTTTTTTAAATCAAAGTTTTAAGAAGCATCTTTATATAACAGAATCGGAGCTATCAACTCAGGGCAGGGTTCAAATCTTGCTTAATGACTGTGCTCACGAGGGAGTTATTTCACCTCTTTCCTCATCTGTAACATGACGGTTAATACCACCTATGTGGGAGAACTGTATTGAGAATTATCATTTGTAAAAGTGTTTACTAAAGTGTTCTCATGGCAGCTAATAAATGTTCATTTACTCACTGCTCCTTATCTATTTGCATAAGAAACAGTGAAAAAGTAACTACACAAACCCCTAGATTGGAGCTCTATTGGCTGTCTTACTAGTTTGGGCCTTGCTTACATCACCGAATCTCTCTAGGTCTGTGCCTTCTTCATCTACAAAACGAACGTTTTGGTATCAATCAAGGAGCTGCCAACTCTAGCCTGCAGGCTAGGGCAAGCTTACTACCTTTGGATGTGTGCATTCCCTCCACCCCCAAAATTTATTTGTTCTTGAGAATCTACACAGCACAACATTTACCAGTTCAACAGTTTTACCTGTGCCATTCAGTAACACGGATTACCATTTCCGTTCTCATCTCTCCTTTTCTGTCCCTGTCCGTCTCCTTCATTAACAAAAAGCGCGTCTTCTCAGGCTCCTATTTAATCTTTCCAGTCGCTATTACCAGTTTGGTCCCATTCAGATAGTTCTTAAAAGATCTGCTCCAGGCAGATCCCTTCTTAATTTTGTTTTATTTTTTTAACTAACTAAGCTAAACTATTGTCTGGTTTAAAGATTTCAGGGGCTATTTCTGGCTGCAGGTCTCATGATTATCATAGAGCAAGGAGCCTTTATCCTACACTCCCAACACTTTGAGAGTGTTTAAAAAGGGACGTCAAGGAATTTCCTAACAACCTGACCTCCAACTGCTAGGTACAAACCAGTGGTCAGGGAGTCTGGAATGCCAAATTGAGCACAAGGAGAAGAAAGAAAGGAAAGGGGCCCCATTTCCTTTGTTTCTCCTTCCCCAGGCGGCTCAGGTCTACATTCTCATATCCTATCTATGCTAATGCTACATTAGCTATTTAAAAGTGCTCTGCCCTTCCTGAAGAAGGAAGAGCCACAGAACAGTGGATGCATTTGAATTCCGGTGTTGGTGAAGAATACTTCAAGGACCATGGACTGCCAGAACAAGAGATCTCGTTAAAGGTACAGCCAGAAGGCTCCTTCGAGGCAAGGACAGTGAGACTTCATCTCACTAACTTTAGACCTGCTATCAGGAGAGGTCTGTCTCGGAGAAGGGCATCATGCTTGGTAAAAGAGAGGGTCAGTGAAGAAGAGCAAGCCCCTCACTGAGGAACAGTGGCTGCATCAATGGGCTCAGATCTAGGGCCCGTTGTGAGGATGGCACGGGACTGGGCAGTGTTTTGTTCTGTTGTGCACAGGGCTGCAGTGGACTCGATAGCACCAAACAACAGCAACAACACCAAAGACCTCTCAAAGGCGCCCTGGAAACGCAGTGGCTAAGAGTTCACAGGTGCCCCTGTGGTGCCACTGGATAAGCACTGAACTGTAACGGCTGCAATGCAAACCGACAAGCTGCTCCTCAGGAGAGAGATGAGGCTATTTTCTCCCGTAAAGAAATCCCTCTAGAGGGTGCTATAAGCCGGAGTCAACAGGATGGCAGTGAAATAATGGAAAGGTGTCTGACCTCACCACAACTCTCAGGAGCAGCTATGGCAGCTGACTTGTTAAAACCCTGGGTACCATAGGGTGACAGTTCTACTCTGTTCTATAGGTCCGGTGGCCAACCAGCAGGGTTTCTGTTTGTTTTGTAAGTGAAATTTTCTCTATTTTTATTGCGGAGTAGCATTATATGAATTACCCATTCACTGACGGAAGGGCATGTGGGTGGTTTTCAGCTTTAGTCAAGTTTATAAAAAGCTGATATGAAAATTTGCATAGTATGTATGGATTGTGATATAAGTTGTACGAACTCCCAATAAAATGATTTTTAAAAGAAAAAAAAAAGAATTTGCATACATGTCATTATAAACAGCACCAATCATTTATCCGGAGTACATAGCTAGGAATGGAGTTGCTAGACCACATATAAACAGAAGTAAGCCAACTTCCACATGCTTAGTTACCTTTCACCTGTCTTCTTGGGTGAAGTATGTTCAGATCATTTTGACCATTTTTTTTAATCGGGTTGATTATCTTCATTTTGAGGTTGTTTTTTAAAAATCATTTTATTGGGAGCTCTTAACAGATATAATAATCCATAATTCAATTAGATCAAGCATAATTGTACAATTGCTACCACCATTAGTTTCCAAACATTATCTTTCTTCTTGAACTCTGATATCAATTCCCCTTTATCCCCTCCTTTCTCCCCAAGGAACCCTGTCGGGTGGAGGACATATCTTACACCATCCAATTTATCCATTCACTGCAATTCTGTTATTTCTTCCCCTAAACTCATCATTGCTATCAGCTCCCTCTCCCATCCCACCCCCTACCCATGCCCTCAGGGAATCACTACTCCCAATACTGCTTCTGAAGGGTTATCGGTCTTGGCTTTCATGCATCCAATGCTCTATACAAGGCTAAAAAGATTAATAAGGTACAACAAAGACCACAATAGTAAGGGGAGGAATTATTACAGAACTAGAAGATAGTTATGTGTTTCATCAGAGCTACACTACTCCTGAGATTTATCATCCCTTCTGTGTGGCCCTTCTGTGAGGGACTGTCCGATTATGTTACAGGTGGGCTTTGGTCTCCACTTGATCCACGCTCCTTCGTATCACCTTGATTACTTGTTTTTAAACTTCTGATATCTCTTCCAGTTGACACTTTATGATCACACAGACTGGTGTGCTTCTTCCATGTGGGCTTTGTTGCTTCCCTGCTAGATGGCCGCTTGTTTGAACTTCAAGCCTTTAAGACCCTATCTTTTACTAGCCGTGTACCATCAGCTTTCTTTACCACATTTGTTTATGCATCCATTTTGTCTTTAGCAATCATTTTGTAAAGGTGAGTATCATACAGTATCATATTATTAAAGCAAGCCGTTTTTGTACTGAGGCTTGATTTAAGTAGAGGCCCAGAGTCCATCAAGCAGAAGTTTTTAAAATGACATTCTTAGCTCTCCTGTCATTCAATGGTTTAGAGTCCCAGAGGTTCTCAATCTGAGGGTTGTGGCCCCTTTGGGGGTCAAACAACCCTTCCACTGGTGTCGCTCGATTCATAACAGTAGCAAAATTGCAGTTATGAAGTAGCAACGAAAATAATGTTATGGTTGGGAGGTCACCACAACAAGGGTCGCAGGATTAGGAAGGTTAAGAACCGCTGGTGTAGACTACAGCTCTGGAGTCAGCCCCACATTCAAATCCTGCTTTGTCTTTTGCTTCATGATGGTAAGCAGCTGTGTATGCCTCAGTTAGCTTGCCTATTAAGACTAGAATGGTAATGACCTACCTAATGGGATTTTTGCAAATTGAATGCACTAACACTCCTGAAACACTTGGCTTTGTATTTAGCTATGTGCTTAATGAATGACAGCGACTGTAAGCTCTCCCCCATTTTCACTGATCACCACCAAGTAATTATCTTCAGAGTTATTTCCCACTTGAGATTATTTAACCCCATACTGAGTGAATCAAAATATTCATTTCTTCTAAGAAGCTATTAAAAACTTTAATCAAAGGCATTGCCAATCTCTTCTCTCACTCCCAAGTCATTCTTTCTTCTACCTTCTAGCAATTCAATTTTAAGCACCTGGTCATGCAATCAGACTCCTCATGGGAAGTATCGAAGGAAGGCCATTTCAAATGAGATCTTCCTTCTAAACCAGCGGTTCTCAACCTGTGGATCGAGATCCCTTTGGGGGTCGAACGACCCTTTCACAGGGGTCGCCTAAGACCATGGAAAACACATTGATTTACATTACAATTCATAACAGTAGCAAAATTACAGTTATGAAGTAGCAACGAAATAATTTTATGGTTGGGGTCACCACAACATGAGGAACTGTAGTAAGGGGTCGCGGCATTAGGAAGGTTGAGAACCACTGTCTAAACTGTAGAATCTCAAGGAAAGCAAGCATTTGAGAGGAACTGGTTCCAATCTCAGCTTAGCAAAAATGAAACAGGTGCCATGCCTCTCAGTAAAACATGAGAAATGACTGAATCTAATGAAGGATGAGTAGCAACAGGAGGGATCTCCAAGAAATTTGAGGGAAAATTCCATTATCTTTTCATTCCACTTTCCCACAAACGCTTGGAAACCTCTCTCTGCATTGTGAGCTGTAAATTTACAAATAAAATGTATGAAAAATAGCTTGTTGGCATGTCTTGCCCAAATTGGACAGTAAGAGTGGAGGCAAAAGAGCGAGATTCTGGAGTTAAAAAACACCTCACTTCAAAGTGTCCCGGCTCTACAAATGCCAGACTAGGCACATTTCCACTCTCAGTCCCCACTGTTAAGGACCCAGGGTCTCCCACAATATTAGGTAGTCAAATAAACACTTTCCCTCCTACTTAGCCTAAAAGCAGGAGAAAGTTGCAGTTTTCCCAAATAAAAAATCAAGAAGTCACAATTGTCATCCTCAAGCAATCTTAGTGTTGTTAGTTTCTTCACTGCAAGTAAATAGTAAGATAAAAAAGTTCAATCAATCTGCTCTTCCAATAAATAGCCCAGGGGGCCCCACATGGGCAGAAATAGGGCTAGCACTGGAGGGTACTTAGTCCTCTCGCAATATTGGGGTTGTATTTCCTCGACCAAATGTGAACGTGAAATTCCTGACACTGTTGGGTTAGCACAGATGCACAAATGAGCACAGAAACGAGAGACCCAAAGCTCTTTAGAGTAAGCTTTAACAAGAGTCACTAATGAGGTAGGGAGGCTCAGATGCTCAGTACCTTTCAGGGATAACACCATCCGAGGGCACCTGGGCTCCAAGTATTTCTTGAGATCATCCCAGGCCCTTTTAATTGCGGCGTAATGGTCAATGTATCTTCCAACATCAGAGTAAGTGTCTATGAACAGAGATTTCCAACACTGATTCTTCTGTGTTCTCTCTTCCCTAAACAGATTTTTAAAAGACACAGAGAGATAAAAAGTCATATCTTCTGATATGATGTTAACAAATAATTGAGACAATTACCAACATATTTTATTGGGGATTTGTGGTGATTTTTGCCTTTCATTTATTTAAGCCACACATGCAGACATTAGAGCAAAAAGTAACACATCAAAAAATTTCAAAGCAGGTATAGCTGCCATGGTAGAATTACCAGCATCTTCATTTTTCAAAAAGTTTTTTACTCTTTAATACAACATAATATGAAAAATATGTACAGTATGTATTTCAAATGACTCCTAAATATATACCAATTGTAAAACACATGTATTTTTTTCCATTTTAGAGGGTACTTAGATTCTAATAAAATGATAGTAATTTAATATATGAGGGAAGCTTCAACAAGTTCATGGAACAATTTCACTATCTTTCAATTGCATTTCTTTCCATGAACTTGAATTTACATTGGATAGTGCTAGCCAGAGAACCATAAAGCTTCAAGGGAATTACAGGAGGCAACATTTTTATTTGGTACAATTCCACAAACATATTGAGGGTCTACTTAGCCAATGAGAACAAAACTAAAGCACATCTGATTGTTTTCAAAATAATCGCCGTATCAGGGGGAGTTACGTAGACCACTCCAATATCATGTTAAAGGCTGAGCCAAAAGTACTCAGAAGGCTTCACCGGAGTTGCAAACAAGAAGTAAGAATTACTGAGATAAACATACAGATGGGTAAGTTCCCGCTCAAGTGGATGGCACTGCCTAAGCAAAAGCCAGATGTCGAAATAAAACCCAAAGCTGTTTTGGGGCAGTCCTTTCCCACTCCTGCCGTCCTGAGTATTAGGGCAGCGTTGCCCCAGAGGGCTTTCTTGGCTGTCATCTTTACAGATATGGATCACCATGCCTTTCTTCTGCTGGGCCACTGGATGGGTACAAAGTGCCAATCTTTAGATAGCAGCTAAGCCCAAACTGCTTGTACCATTCGGGGACTTTGAAGTGTCTACAGTCAACTGTTAAGTATTCCAGTGTTACTGGGAGGTCAATTTAAGAATCTCAAGAAATAGAGAATAAAGCAGACATAGAAGCCCTTAGGGTCTGGGGCTTGATGAATTGGGACTTTATTCTGTGGGAAATGAAGACCACTGAAGGGTTTAACAGAAGAGTTAAAGGGGTAGATGTGTAGTTGTGGTTTGGGAAGAGTAAACTTAAGGGGTGTAAGGGAACCAAAAGGTCGGTGGTTTGAACCTACCAGTCACCCCATGGGACAAAACGGTGACTGGTTGCTTCCGTGAAGATGAGAACTTTGGAAGCCCTGTGGGGCCACTTCTACTCTGTCCTGTGTAGAGGCTATGAGTTGGAATCAGCTCAGTGATGGTTTTCATTTGAGATACCTAGAGATATAGAGCTAGAATTAAGAGGTTTGAGTAGTCCCAATAGAAGAGGATGAACCGAGCTTAAAAATCATTTTAAAATGTGATCGCTGAAGTGAAATGAACAGGAAGATTTAAAAAACACTTAGAAATGAAACTCCAAAAAGGTTGTGAACTGAATGAACGTAGGAAGAGAAAAAGAGGCGATGTAGGACCTGGCTGGGGTGTCTCAGGAGATGCTGTCACCAATGGAATTCAGAGGGATCAGGTTTAGGGGTGAGGAAAACAACGCTTACTCAAGGTTGTTTTTGTTGGTGTCTGGGGACACAGGAAGGGGAGCACCTTATTGTTAATTCAAATAATATACAAATATATTACTCAAGCCTAACAGACCAAAGAACTGGTCTCCTATTCTCAGTGCACCTCCTCAAAGGAAACTTCCGTTCTTGCAAGAATGTATCCATATACTTCTAAATGTTTCATCCCTCTAGTTCTTGATTTGTCATTTTTACATGGTGTCCATTCATGGATTCTCATTATTTATGGATTCCAAAATTATAAATTCACCTTCTCACAAACTAAGTCCATATTCATGGTGCTTTCACAGTTATGTATATGCATTTGCAGAGCAACAAAAATTGAGTCAATCGATGCAGGCATTTCCAGCTTAAGTTGAATAGGGCTCTTATGCTATATGTAAACAAGTGTCCTTTTTTAGGGCTTACTAGGGCCTACTAATTGCCAGGGTAGTCCGTGGGTGGCGTCAATAGTTAAGTGCTTGACTATGAGGTAAAAGATTGGTAATTCCAATCCAACCAGAGGAGCCTTGGGAGACTGGCTGGTGAATCTACTTCAGAAAGGTCACAGCTTTGAAGACTCTAAGGCGCACTTGTTCTCTGGTTGGCCAGGAGTTAGACCTGACTTGATGGCAATTAAGGAAAAACAACAATTAAAAATTTTCCCCATTTTTGTGCTTATTGAAGGTTTTGCTATTTAAAATGCACATGTGCAGAAGTTTCAAGTGTTCCCAAGCATAAGAAGGCTGTGATTTGTCCTGCAGACAAAATGTGTAAGATAAGCTTCATCCAAGCATAAAGTATAGTAATGTTGGGGATCAATTCAATGTTAATGAATCAACAAACTATATTAAATAAGGGTTCTTTTAAAGAGAAACAGGAAAAACAAGAGCTATATATTGACTAGTTGACAAAAAAAACAAAAAAACAACAACATTGTGACCAGAGGCTTGCAAGACCCTCGGTATTTCCCTTAGATAATACAGTTTCACTCCTTCAGAGCTCACAGTAATTTTATGAGAAATCAATTGTATCTAAAATACCCAGTGTCAGATTGCCCAACAAACGAGGTAAGCACAGGTTTACTTATGCTTACTTACTGTTCTGTAGTAAATATTTTCACATCAAAGATTCTTCTTCAGGCACAGCTAGCATCTGTCTCACCCCTAAACCCACAGCACCTTCCTACAGAATATCAAAACCTCTTTCAAATTCATATTCCCTGACAACGAGGGAGCACTCAGTATTAAGCAAGGTAAGAAGGGGCTTACTTGTACTTACTAACTAGTTGATTCTGTGCCCTACATAGTAGTAGGCCTAAGTAAACATTAGTAAGTAAGCAGGAGTGAACAGTAAGTAAGCATTAGTAAACCCATGCTTACCTTGCTTCCTGGATCATCTGCCCCTGCTGTCACCCAAAGTGAAAAATGTGGATATAGCAATACTTAAAATTCCCTCCCCTTGCTCTTCCATCTTTTCATTGTTTGGCAACTCCATGATTCTGAATCTTACTGGCTGTTCTATAACTTTAAATAACATATTTAAGCCTCTACTTCTTATTTCACCAACTCTTTGACTCTGCTCAAAGTTGCTACATTGATTCTGCTCAAACAGAGAAATACATTCTGAGCATTCCGACTCTTTCTTATGGCTCCCTAGATGATACAAACAGCTAAGCACTTGCTACCACTAGCTAAAAGGTTGGCACTTTAAACCCACCCAGAGGTGCTTCCGAAAATAGGATTGGTGATCTGCTTCTGCAAGGACTTGGACTTCCCATGGATCGATCCTAATCTGTACGTATGGGGTCACAGGAAGCAGAGTTAACTAAACAGCAACTGAAAACAACCTTTCCCAGCTCCCACCTATTTGTTCTGCCCGATTTGTTAACATTTACTGACTTTGGTGAACCCTTTTAGGGTATCCAACGGAAAGGTCCGGAAGACCCTGAGCAAAGTTCAGCAGAGACAGCAGGGCCAGTGTTTCCAAGAGTTCATAGAGTGAGGAAGGCAATCAGCATTTACCGGCAGGCACGAGAAGAGCCAAAAAGGAGAGTGAGAGGGAAGGGTTACAGTTAGGAAAATTTGGACAGACTAAGATTAAGATGCCAAGGGGCCAACTACCAAAACCACACTGCACAGCATACTCACTCAGATATCAGCCAGTACTGTTTGCAATGTCTTCTCCACAGTGGATCATGATTTGATAGCTGGCTAAGTCTTCGACTGACATAGCAGCAGCTGGTTGTTTGATGATGCATATGAAAGAAGGGGGGGAAAAAACCTTTAATGAAGATTAAAAATTAAACTGAAAGCTTTACTTGATTCGTTTTTGCTTTTCTATACTATCCATTTTCTCCCTTAAAATAGCCAAACAGTATTTTTAAGAAGCTGCTTAACATGGTAACTAGTGTTACTTTCTGAGTAGGGAAATCGCTATGTGAGTTCACAAATAAACCCTGAAACCTCTATGACTAACTTTCATATGAAAGTCTATACTGGGGAATAAGGGTGTTCATAAACAATGAGCTCAAGACAGAAGACACTGTTCTAAAATTGACTGATGTGATTATACAACTGTTTTCAATATGACTAACTATTGAAATGTATATTTGAGTTTTATGCTAATGAAACTTAAAAAAAAATAGAATTAGACAAATAAGACAAGAAGACTACGCTACATAAAACCTCTGGGTTTACCTGAACTCAAGGGGCTGGTGTTCCTGCATTGTTACTGTGAGTCATTTCTACATGTTGGAAGAAATGGTATTCAAATGTAAACAAAGTGATTTGTTTTTCAAAGTTCTGTGAGACTACTATATTCACAGGTGCTTTGTTTTGCCTTAATTTTTCCACAAACAAGTAAAGAAATACTATCACCACACATTTTGATTACAACAGCTACTAGAGTCAACCTATAAAGTGTTAGATCCTTCTGAAGTCTGGATTCAATGTGCGGGGCTATACCCATTAATGTAAATTGCTCAAAGGCATAGAATTTAAGAAGTAAAGAATTTCTTACTATATAGAGAAACTTAACACACTTAACACAATAGTGTCCCATTCTTGTGAATGTTATTTACCCCCTTCCCATTCATTTGGCAAGAAGGAAGCAAAGATTAGGGATTTATCCAAAGATGCAGCCTTTCAAAATCACCAGTTAACAGATAAAAATCCTCAAAGATCACACTTGGGCAAAGATCACACCTAATTCATTAGTTAATTAACAAGATCTTAAATCACCTGGGATTTGTCAAGGCGATGAGCAGGGCAAAGGAACCCTGGTGTGTAGTGGGTTCTGCACTGGGCTGCTAACCACAAGGTCAGCAGTTCAAACTCACCAGCTGCTCCACAGGAGAAAGATAAGGCTTACGACTGCTGTGAAGCTTTACAGATTTGGAGACCCACGGGTTCAGTTCTACTCTGCCTGAGGATGGCAGAGTCAGAACCAACCGGATGGCAATGCAGACTTTGTCCACTGTCACCGTTTCCAGCGACCCAGCACCCTCATCCTTTTCTGCTGGTGCCCAAACGACCTTTTGTAAATAGGAATGCTTCTGTTTTGTGAACTCAGGTTCCATCCCCTTTCAAGATCTCTTCCCACCCCACCCCCCTCCATCCCCCACCCCTGGCAGTTAGACAACATAAAAGAATCTCAGAGCAGTTCTGAGGCACAATTAAGAGAGGAGGAGTGAGGGTCTAGAGATTCTGATCCCATAGGCTTGAAATGAGATCTAGCATATGAGTATTTTGAACGTGCCACAGGTGATCCTGGAAAATGCTACCTAATAAATCATCCTGGCAAGGAGAAGGTTTCATGCAATTTCAAAATCCAACCTTGGATCTGAAATTGACTGTGGTAATGATTGCACAACTCTTCTTAATATGATTGAACAATTACATTGCATGATATGTGAATTATATGCCAATAAAACTATTTTTTAATCCAACTGTGGAGCAGATAGTGTGTGTGTGTGTGTGTGTGTGTGTGTGTGTAGCAGATATACGATGAACCCAATGGGCCAATCCCATCCAGTTCAGGAACTATGTAGTAAAAATGCCAGGATTCAGCAAGAGGCTAGACACTTGACAAAGCCAAGCTGTCGGTGCAGAGAAGTGGCAGCAAACTGGAAACTTTTCTATGGATAAAAAACAAAGGTATTCAACTCAATTTAACTCCATAATAAATGTGCGAAGGAATCATGCCATTTCTGTTTAAAACATTAATACCTCCCTTAAGCATTTAAAATAAAATCTCCTCCTCACCTTGGCCCACAAGCTCCTTCCTGCACGATCCCAGCAGTCTCACTGCAAGCCACTCAGCCTGTGAGTCACCCCTACCTGGAGCCACACAAGACTTCTTGCTCCTCCACAAGGCCATGCCACCGTCAAGCCGTTCCTCCTGTTCCTCCTGCCAGGACAGCTCCTATGTGGCCCCTCCTCCCAATGTGTCTGTTCTTCCCTTTCCCGTTTCTTAGCAGAGCGATCCATTGACTTCCTTCACAGCACCTCCAGCTACCTCTTATAATTACGTGCTTGTTTACTTGCTTTTTCACCTGGCTCCCTAAACCATAAGCTCCATGCGAAGGACCTTGTCTATCCTGTTCACGCTTGGATCCCTAGCATTTAACAAGCCGGCACGCAGCAGGCAACAAAAAAAAAAGCTGTTAAACAAATAATGGATGCAAAGATAAACAGGAGCAGGACAGGCCTTGCATGCAGGAAGTCCACAATCAATCCCGCATGGCAAATACATTCTGCAGAGGAAAGAAGGTGGTGGGGGAAAGTCAGGGGAGGAGGGCTTAGAGGAATTCCATTTTGCCAGCTTGAGGAGAGGCAGGCACAAATTCCAGACAGGGTTACGAGCTTAAACTACAGAACCAAAGGCTGTAAGTGTGTGGAATGCTGGCACAGGTCTGACCTGGCATGAGGAAACTGTATAAATACGGCAGAGGATGAGAAATTAGGCCTGAAAGGCCTCTATAGGCCAAATAACAAAGGCTTCAAGAGCCCCCAATTAGTTTTTTTAAGGGGTTGTAATGTAAACAAACAGGTAGCATAGGTTTTTAAACTGGAGAATGAGCTAGCCTGTTCTGAGAAAATTCGCTCTGATGGAAGGTAGCTCATGAATCCAAAGTGCGGAAGGTGAGATTTGTAAAAAACCTATAGCCACAGAAAATTTCTGATGAACGCTGGGCAACTTGGGCAACCTTTCACAAAGAAAAACCATAGGCTAGCTCTCTGCTTTGAGAAAAACCTGAACAAGACAAACATATACAGGTAGCCACCAGAAACTCGGGTTATTCCTGTTTCTGCTTAGGCCAAGCTACCTGTAGCTCCAAGAAGCCTGCACTTCCAAAAGGAATTGTAATCCACGGGATAAGATCCTCAAGTGGCTAGAAACCAATTGCCATTTAAAACAACCTCCTCAATCTCTCCTACCCATCCTAAGATTTTTCCTCCTCTACAGATATTATGCAGGTAGCAGCGCCCTAATAACGAGCTGCCAAGGGTGTCAGCAGTCCTGACACCAAGGGTGGGGGTGAGGATGGGGGGCGTCATTTCTGTAACCACCACGGACAATTCCAAAGTCGGACGGAATTGAGTATTTCACCACCCTCGCTAGCAGCCGGTGTTTATTTTTGGACCAAACATCCGCAATGTGGGAACCCCAAAATGCACGGGCGAGAAGGGCAGTGTCGCACCACCGGAAGTCAGTAGAGGAAAAAAAACAACAACAGAAAATAAGCTCCAACATCCAAATGTAACGGGGACGGCTGTAAGCAAAACACAAGTCCGAATGCGGGCCCAGCCTGCAAATGACCGTGCGGAGGAACGTCGCGACAGGGTCGAGGGGAGGAGGGGGCGCCCCGGCCCCTCCCCTC